CCTGCCCATGGCAGTGGGTGGAATGACATGATTCTTAAGGTCTCTTCCAGTCCAAACCATTCTGGGATTCTATGATTCAAAACCACAAAGCCCCAACCTAACTGTGCCCAGCCTTGAAAATCCCGGGAGTGAATGGAGAGGGTACTGACCGTGACCTCCTGCCTGCCAAGGCTCAGGGGGGCACATGGCTGTCCCAGCACAGTGGCACCCACAGCCCCCCTTGTCCTGCTGTGTGGGGACACAGCAGAACCTCCCTGCTCAAGGCTGCAGGATCTGACTCATCCTTCCCTCTTTCCCTCGTTCCTGCAGGTTAATCTTTAATGACTGGTAAAGGTGTGTATTAATAACTGAGGACACGAGGAACTGGGGAGACTGGTACGGGCAGCCCCGGGGTAACAGAGGGCTGTGTCCGCACATGCCCCCTGAGCCAGGCCCCGTGGGCTCACCACAGGCTGGGCACTGCCTCCTCTGCCTCAGGATGGACCCTCAGCCCCTCCCTGGGCACAGGATCCCACCGTGCCCTTCCCAGGCACTCACGTCGTGGGCGAAGGCGTAGGGGGTGATCCAGGTGACGGGCTGGCCCAGCACCTCTGCCTGGTAGTAGATGCCCTTGATGGAGAGGAAGACCTGGCAGGACCACAGTGAGGGCTTAGGGGGAGGAAGGCCATGGGGCTGCTGTGCCCCTGTCCTCGCTCCCCCTTCCCTTGGCTGGGTTGCTTCCTCCTCAGGGAGGATCAAACATCCCAGTGGGACACGCACCCCACCGGCAGCTCCAGCACAGCTGGACCAGTGCCCTCCCAATACCCTCCCAACACCCTCCCAGTGCCCAAACCCACCACCCTCATGCCCCCTGGGCAGGGGGGCCTGTCCTGTCCCTCTCCCCGTGCCCACCTTGCGCAGGGAGCGGGAGGCGATGACGTAGTTCTGGAATTCCACGGCCAGGCGCCGGCACAGCTGGATGGTCTGGACATGGCACTTCCCCGTCCGGGGGAAGGTGGAGAACAGGAAGCACATGGACAGGGCATCGTCCAGGTCCCGCAGGGCGTCGATGAACGTGGGGTACCTGTGTCCAGGGGAAAGGGAATGGGGATCACACCCGGCCCTGCTGTCCACAAAGGCTGCTGGGGCTGGGGGAGACCCCGGGAGAGAAAGGAATTGGAAACATGGAACATCCACCTGCACATCCCACCACAGCTGGTCACAGAACCATGGAATGTCCTGAACTGGGAGGGACCCACAAGGATCATTCAGTCCAACCCCTGGCCCTGCACAGACACCCCACAATCCCACCCTGTCCCTCAGAGCGTTGTCCAAACCCTCCTGGAGCTCTGGCAGCCTTGGGGCTGTGCCCACTGCCCTGGGGAGCCTGGGCAGGCCCAACCAGCCTCTGGGGAAGAACCTTTCCCTGAGATCCAACCTAACCCTCCCCTTGACACAACTCCAGTCGTTCCCTCGAGGACCCACAGGGATGGGTGTCCCTCCTGGGCACTGAGGGGTCACAGCCACACAGCTCCTGGGGCTCAGGGCTCCCCAGAGGACAAGGCAGGACCTCGGAACACGAGGTGGATGTGAACAGGGTTTAGGGCACCCACGGGTTTTGAGTGTGGGGGATTCCAGCCTGGACTCCTGAGGACACACACACACACATGACACACACATGGCCCATGGCCTGTGGCACAGGTCACTTCTCAGCACTGCTTCTCTCTTCACACCAGCACAGGGAGATCCCAGGCACCACAGGGACAAGGAACAGACCTGCCAGAGCCTGTTCCTTCCCTCTTTCCTGTGTCCCCTCCTTGCTCACTGTCACCAAAGCCATGGGCACGATTAACCCTCAACCAACCCTCCCTCTGAGGAAAGCACTGTGCAGGGACAGGAGGGAGCCCTCAGTGTCCCCCTGGAGCCATCCAGGATGGCCAGGAGCTCCCTGCTCACTCCTCCAGCCCAGAGACACCCATTGACACCAACACCCCCAGAAAATACACAGGAAGTGGGTTCCCAAAGAGGGGTGGATGTGGTGAAGGAATCCCAGAATGGTTTGTGTTGGGAGGGACCTTAAAGCCTATCCAGTTCCACCCCCTGCCATGGGCAGGGACACCTTCCACTAGCCCAGGCTGCTCCAAGCCCTGTCCAGCCTGGCTGTAGACACTTCCAGGGATCCAGGGGCAGCCACAGCTTCTCTGGGCAACCTGTGCCAGGGCCTCCCCACCCTCCCAGGGAAGAATTTTTTCCCAGTATCCCATCTAACCCTGCCCTCTGGCAGTGGGAAGCCATTCCCCCTTGTCCTGTCCCTCCATCCCTTGTCCCCAGTCCCTCTCCAGCTCTCCTGGAGCCCCTTTAGGCCCTGCAAGGGGCTCTCAGCTCTCCCTGGAGCCTTCTCTTGTGCAGGTGAACCCCCCCAGCTCTCCCAGCCTGTCTCCAGAGCAGAGGGGCTCCAGCCCTGGCAGCATCTCCGGGGCCTCCTCTGGACTCTCTCCAGCAGCTCCACGTCCTCCCTGTGCTGGGCCCCCAGAGTGGGATACACTGAGCTCCAGGTGGGCTCCCTGTGGCTCTGCCAGGACTCTCCTCACCTCTCCTTCACGATGTGGTCGAGTTTGTAGGTGGGTTTGTTGTCCTTCAGCCGTTCCACGGTGCTCCACTCGCTCTTCCCGTACGCCTTCCGGAGCTTCCGCACAAACACCTGTGGGGATGGGGGAGGTGGGTGCTCCTGGGTGCTGCTGGGTGCTCCAGGACCAGCCCCAGCAGCCCCTGGGGTGGGACAATCACCTTGTATTCCCGGAATTTGTTGACGATGGGCTCATGGAGCAGGAATTTGATGTCCTTGAGCAGGTAGAAGGTCCTGGGGGCCGTGGAGCCCTTGTTCACCTTCTTCTTGTGCTTGGGCTCATGGGGGTAGATTCCCTTGAGGATGCAGAGGCGCCTGGGGAGGGGACAGGGCTGGGACATGGGGACACAGCACCCCTGGACACCCCAGGCCCTACCCTTGGTCAGGAGGGAACCCCCAAACTTGGCACCTGAAATCCTGGGACACACTCCAGGACATACAAGACAATCCATCCTGCTCCCAAGGGACAGGGACACCCCAAGGGCCACCCCCTGGAGGGGGTTCAGGAGGTCCCAGGGCCACCCCACACACCCACCACAAGCTCCATTTCCCACTGCTGACCTGGGAGGGCTCTGGGGGTCCCAGGGCGGTCATCAAGGGGGTCCTGGGGGGAGCTCAGGGGGTTTGGGGTATGTGGAGGGGGGATCCAGAGGGGATTCTGGGGCCTGGGTGTCCCGGGGGGCTCAAGGAGGCTCAGAGGCTCTGCAGGGGAGTGAGTTCATGGGGTGTGGGGTCCCTGCAGGGGGAGTTCGGGGGTTCCGGGCGCACCTGAAGTCGGGCAGGCTCAGCTGCAGCTTCTTCCGCGCCCGGTTGCGGGTGATGTAGTTGGTGGCGGCTCCGCGCTCGTACTGCGGGGAAATGGGGGGGAGAGTGAGGAGACCCCTGGAACTGGGGGGAAACGGGACCCAGGGATGGGATGGAGGCTGAGACGGACCGCCGGGCACGGACAGCGAGGGGGGCGAGTGGGCAGCGGGCACCGACCGGGGGTCACGGGGGCGGAGGGGGGGCACTGGAAGGGAGAGACACCGGGACCGGGGGCGGGCACCGGAGGGGAGGAGGGATACGACACGGGAAGGCACCGGAGGGACGGGCACGGGCCCCGGGGGTGTGGGCGCAGCCCCGGAGGGATGGGACAGTCTGGGGAGGGGACGGGGTCGGGTGCGGGGTCCCGGTACCTTCTTCTTCTCCACTCCCCCCATGGCCCCGCCGAGCCACGCGCTCCCGCCGCCGCTGGACCCCGGGCTGCCCGCACCGCGCCTGAGCACACCGGAGCCGCCCTGCGCCGGGCACGGGGACTGCGCGGACACCGCGAGCGGCGCGGGTGGAACGAGAGGCGCGGGTGGAATGAGCGGAGCGGGCGGAATGAGCGGCTCGGGAGACAGGCCCGCGGTCTGTCAGGCGCGCGGCGGGCAGCCCAGAGCGGTGCGGTGAGGGGTCCTGAGGCGCGGGGCATGCTGGGATATACCGAGGCAGGCCGGTCCTCCCGCGCGGGGCATGCTGGGATATGCCGGGATATACCGGGGGTCCCGGCCTCACCCGGGGGCGCGGATAGGGGGCCGTGCCACGGTCTGGGGGTCCTAGGCCCCCAACAGCCCCCGCGGCACTGCCCCCCCGAGCCCCCACAGCCCTGTCCCCCGCGAGTTTGGCTGGGATCCGGGGTGCTTCACCCCCTCCAATGCCGGGGGCGCCGCCCCCCCCTCCCCCGGAGCCCTGGGCACCCCGGGAGGGTTCGGGGCGCTCCCGGGGGTTCCGCTGAGCCCGAGGGGGCCATGACCCCCGAACTCGCCCCTTTTCCCCCGCCAAGGCTCAGGAGGGTTTGGGGGCAGGGGGTCCCCAGGCCGGTCCCCCCAGCCTGGGGGTTCCCGGGCTGAGCCCCAAAGGGTCCCGGGACCCCCCCGGGCTGGGGGGATTCGGCTTTTGGGCTCAGCCCCCCACACCCACCTTCGGCTACGGGGTTTTACCTTTTGGGGCTCGGGACCCCCCGGCTTTAGGGAGTTACTTTTTGGGGCTCAGCCTCCCCCCCCCCTCCGGCTCTGGGGTGCGGCTGATTAATCCTCCTTTTCTCAATTAAATCCCGGTTGGAAGCGAGCAGTGGATTCTCGTTTTCAGAGGCACCAGATCTGTGGGATTTCACGCCTGTCTTTATTTTTGGGCTGCTTGGAGCAGGGTGACCCGGGGCAGGGTGACCCAGCACAGCCCCCGTGATGCCCCCGCTCCCCCCGGCGCGTCCCAGCCAAAGTTCTGCCCCGTTTCTGCTGACTCGGCCCCGACGTGCGGAAACGGCCTCCCGCCCCAGCTTCCCGTGCTGTCCCGGTCCCGCCCGGGCTCATCCTGCCGCTGCCGGGCGTCCGGCGGTGCCGTGTCCCCTCCGTGTCACCCCCTGTCCCTCTCCAGCATGTGGCTGCTGCTCGTCCTGCTGCTGCCGCCCGCGGTCCTGTCCGCCCAGCGCTGCGGTGAGTGCGGCCCCGGGACCCCCGACCTGCCCGGGCCCCCCCCGGGGCCGAGGGGTCCCTGAGGGGCAGGGCTGGGGTGACAAACCCCACCCTGTACCCCAGCCCTGCTCCCCAGTCCCGGGGGCCTCGTGAAATCCCTTGGGGATGCGTTTTCCAGGGCTCAGCTCCCCCCATGAGTCTGATTCCTGCAGCCCCTTTCCCTGCCCGGAGCCAGCCCCTGCCTACCCCCTGTGGGTCCCACAGGGACACTGGGACAGGGGTGTCACAGAGGGGTGTCAGGGAGGGGGGCTCTGCCGGGCTCTCTGTGTTTCTCTTTGCGGCTCTTCCTTTGTTTCTTCCTCTTTGTGGGAAATCTCGAGGGTTTGGGATTTGTGGGGGCACACAGAGGGTGTTGGGTGCACGGCAGGGCTGGGTGCCGGGGCTGCATCCCCACAGAGCTCTGGGGGGCTGCAGATGCTGCGGGGGGTGGTCTCAGCCCCCTGTGCCCCCTCACCTGCTCCCTCCCCGGGCAGAGCCCCCCCCGGGGCCGGCGGGGGCCGTGCGGGCGCTGAGCGCGCGGCTGCTGGGGCTGGCGGGGGACCCTGCGCGGGCCCCCGACCCTGCCACGTACCTGGGGCTGCGCCTGGGCCGGGAGCACAACCTGCAGCTGGAGCAGCACTACCTGGAGAGGCTGCACCGCGCCTTCCAGCACCCCTACGGCAGGTGGGACACTGGGGGGACACCGGGACCCCCATGGGGACACTGAGGCTCCCCACGGGCCTCTGGGGACACCCCTGTCCCACACACTGACCTCAGGTCCCCACAGGAGCGTGCAGGCCCATGGCTACCCTGAGCAGGATGCTGAGCTCAGCACGTACGTGTGGGTGTCCTGGGGGACACGGGGTGCCCTGAAATCACCCCTGTCATGGGGTGACACCCCTGATGGGGTCCTGGGAGGTGCCCTGAGGGTAGAGTGACACTGCCAGCAGGGTCCTAGGAGCCCCAGGGCAGGGTGACACCCCCAGTGTGGTGTCCTGGAGGTGCCCTGAGGGCAGGGTGACACCCTCGGTGGTGTCCTGGGAGGTGCCCGGTGCCTTGCAGGGGTGCAGAGCGGCCACAGACAGGGCGGCTGGCGCTGTACCTGCTGGGGCTGAGGGCCACCTGTCCCCCAACCAAACCCCACCGGGCGCTGGTGACGTGGCTCAAATACTACCTGGAGGAGGACTGGACAGGTGAGTGTCCCCACGGGGTGACCACCCACCTGGGCACCCACAGGGTGGGACCTCACTCACCCTGGTGACACCACCCCTCTTCCCCAGGCTCCCGGCGGCACGGCCACCCCCTCACCAATTACTACCAGTACGGGCTGGGTGTGCTGGCGCTGTGTGCGCACCACAAGCGGGTGCGGGAGGAGGTGATCCGCCGGCTCCTGGAGGCACAGCACCGCGGCCGGCTCGGGCACGGCGCCGTGGGTAAGGGCCCGTGGGTGCAGGCAGGAGCACCCGGCGGGGGGTGAGCCCGCGGTGACACCGTGGTGTCCCTGCAGACACGGAGGCCGTGCTGGCACTGGCCTTCGCCTGCCTGGAGCGCAGGAGGCTGGTGGGGGCCAGGCTGGCGGCCGAGCTCCGGGACACTGTGCACAGGGTGAGCAGGAGCATGGCCCAGGCTCAGGGACCCGAGGGCATCATCGGCAACATCTACAGCACCCCCTGGGCCCTGCAGGTGGGTGTCACCTGAGGGGACTTCTGGCATGGGAGCAGGAATTGGCAAGGGGAGGTGGGGCTGCAGGTGGGTGCAGGTACAGGTGCGGGTGCAGATATGGGTGTAGATGCAGGTTTGGGTGCAGATGTGGGTGTAGATGCAGGTTTGGGTGCAGATGTGGGTGTAGATGCGGGTGCAGATTTGGGTGCAGATGTGGGTGTGGGCACAGGAGCAGATATGGGTGCAGATAAAAGTACAGGTGCAGATGTGGGGTGCAGGTGCAGAAAGCTGTAGGTGAGGGTGTAGGCGAGGGTGTAGGCAGGTGCAGATGTGGGTGTAGATACAGCTACAGGTGCAGATGCAAGATGTGGGTGCAGATGTGGGGTGTAGGTGCAGGTACAGATGCAGATGGTGGTGCCTGGGCAGAGGCAGCTGCCCCAGGGCAGGTGATGCTCAGCCCTGAGGTGCCCAGGTGCCCAACCACCTCCCTCCTCTTCTTGCTGCCCCACCACCTCCCTCCTGCTCCAGGTGTTCCTGGCCACAGGCATGTGCCACACGGAGCCAGCTTACAGCCGGGCCATGGCTGTGCTGCTGGAGAACCTGGATGCCTTCGGCACGGCCACCACCATGGCCCAGGTGCTGCCAGTGCTGCACGGCCACTCCTACGTGGACATCGCCTCCATGCACTGCCAGGAGGAGTTGGGTATGAGCCATGGGCAGCTGGGATGGGGTTGGTGCCAGTGCCACCGTGGTGGTGGCCGGGTGTCCATCAACGCCACAGTGACTTCTCACAGATACGCTGACACCCCTCGACGTGGAGCCCCCGACTGAGGTGCCAGGGAACAAGACAGTGCGGCTGATGGTGGAGTGTGCCCAGCCCTGGTGTTCCGAGCTCCAGCTCTACAACCGGCGGGTGTCCACGCCCGCCACCGCCTCCCTGCTGGATGTGCTCAGGGCGGCCACTGCACAGGAACCCCACTTCACGTATGTGACCCACCTGGGGTCCCCTGGGGTCGCACTGGGGTGGCCACGTGTCCTGCACCCACGCCAAGGGCTCACCCTGCTTCCCACTGCCTGGCTCCCTTGGGAGCTGCCCTGTCCCACCGCCAGCAGTGCCAGGACTGGACACTCATCCCCCTCACTGCCCTCTGCCACCCCCCAGGTTTGACACCCAGGACACCCCCCAGGGCCCCTACCTGACCCAGGTGCTCGGGCTGGAGGCCCGGCAGGAGAAGCGGAACTACTGGCAGCTCCTGACAGCCCCCAGCACCCCCCTGCTGACAGGTGAGTGATGGGTGGGGGTCCCTGGGAGGCAGTGGGGGTCCCAGGCAGTCCCCACGGCCCCTGGGGCCCCCAGTCTCACCTGAGGTCACTGTCCCTCCCTCTGCAGGTGTCGCCGACTACATTCCCCATGATGGGGAGACCCTCATCCTGCGCCTCAGCGAGTGGTAGAGGGTGGGGGGCTGTAGGGGGTGATGGCAATGAAACCTCCACTGTGGGCACAGGACCTGCTTTCTGTCTCCTGCTTTCCAGGGGCCAGCACCCCAAATCTGCCGGGGGGAGGAGGAAGAGGAGGGGGACAGAATGTGCCTTGTCCTACGGGTGCTGTTGGATGGGAGCACTGGGACCAGCAGCTCCTCTGGTCCTGGTCCCTCTCAGGGATGGCGCAGGCAGGTGCTGGGAGCAGCCGGTTTTGGGGGGTCCAAAGCATTTTTGGGATATGCAACGATTTGTGGAGACCGAGTCAGCGCTGCTCATCCACAGAAAGCCGCCAGCTGGGTTCACCCTCCTCTGTAACGCCCTGGCGGGGCCCTGGCCCTGCCCACTGAGCCCCCGGGGCCCCCAGTGCCACACCCAGCGCGAGGGGCACCCCCGGCGTTTAACCCGAGGCCCCAGATCACGGCAGGGCAGGGGAGCGAGCGGGGCCGGGGGCGGTGTCGGGGATGTCGCCGCGGTTCGGGCTCGGGGGCGATGCCGGTGACGCTCCCGGGCGGGCGGGGCGGGGGCAGCGATGGCGGCCGCTCCCTGAGGGCGGCGGGGGCTGTGGCGGGGCCCGGGCAGGCGGCTGTGCTGTCCCGGCGGGGCCGAAGGTCCCCGGCGGGCCCCGCCGCCCCGGGCGGATCGCTGGGCGTGCCCGCGGTGCCCCCGTGCCCCCGAACCCCGCCCGGCGGCCGTGACGCGCGGGGCCCTCACGGGGAGGAGCCTCCGCCCTCCGCTCCCGCCATCACCAAACTTTGCGCTGGTTCCCGGCGGCCGCCGCCGCCTCCTCCCGGCACATGGCCCCGGCTCCGCGGGGCTGAGCTCCGCCACCGCCCCCGGGCGCGGAGACACCGCCGACAGCGACACCGCCACCGCCGGAGCGACCGGTCACCGACACCGCCGCTGCCCGGGTGCGGCGGCTCCCGGCGCGGCGCGGGAGGACGGGGCAGAGCGGCGAGGGGCGGCCGGAGGCAGCGGGGCCGGTGCCCATGTGCCCGCGGTCGCGGCGTGGCGATGAGGCCGCGATGAGCACGGCGGGCGAGGGCACCCTCCGGCCCTGGAAGCCCGACCCGGGGCAGGCGGACGGGGGGCGGCCGCCCCCGCCGGGCCCGGCGCTGCCGCTGACCCTGAGCGTGCTGGCCTGGCTGGGCACCGGCACCACCATGGCCGGCCTCAACAAGTGGATCTTCGCGGCGCACGGGTTCCGATACCCGCTGCTGCTCTCCTCGCTGCACATGCTGTCGGGAGTGGCCGTGGGGTACCCGCTGGGCTGGGCGCGGGGTGCCCGCTCCCCGCGGCCCCGCGCCCGCATCTACCTGCTCAGCCTCACCTTCTGCACCAGCGTGGCCCTGGGCAACCTGGGCCTGAGCTACGTGCAGCTGGACGTGGCCCAGGCCGTGGCCACCACCACGCCGCTGGTGACGCTGGTGCTGGGGGTGCTGGGGGGCCGGCGGCCGCACCCGCTGCAGTGCTGGGCCATGGGCCCGGTGTGTGCCGGGGCCGCCTGCAGCATCGCCGGCGGGCTCCGCTTCTCCCAGCCCGGCTGCGGCTTCCTGCTGGCCGCCACCGTGCTCCGCGCCCTCAAGTCCATCCAGCAGAGTAAGTGCCACCTGTCCCTGTCGCTGTCCTGCATGTGCGTCCTCCTCTGGCGCGGCCCCTGGTGCGCGGGTGGGCTGGTGGCACCCCGGTGTCACCGTGGGGCTGGGGACGCTCCCTGCTCGCTCATGCTGCCCACCCTGGCTCTGGTATCACCTCAGTGCCACCCCCCTCCCCACCCTATACTGGATGTCATTCTAGTGTCACCCCAGCCCCAGTGCCACCCCAGCCCCACCCTGTCCCTGGTGCCACCCTAGTGCCACCCGTTGCCCACCCTGTCACTGGTGTCACCCCAGTGCCACCCTGGTGCTGGTGACACTCCCTGCCCACCCTGGCCCCAGTGCCACTCCGTTGTCACCCCAGCCCTGGTGGCACTCTGGCCCCCAGTGTCACCTCCGCCCCAGTGCCAGTTCTATGCCATCCCAGTCCTATTGCCACCTGCTGTCCTCCTTGGCCTTGGTGCCACCCTACTGTCACCCCAGCGCCACCCCTTGCCCACTCTGTGCCTGGTGTCACCCCAGTGCTACTCCAGTGCCACCCTTGGCCCCTTGGGGCTGTGTCATGCTCCTGGCCCTGAGGTGATGTGACCTCAGTTTGACCTCAGTGATGACACCATTGGTGTCCTTGTGGTGTCCCCTGGCACTGCTGGCTCCTGGTGACACTGTCCCATGTCTTGGGGCCATGGGAAGGCACAGGGATACCCAGCCTGCCCCATTCCCATGAGCTCCCTGCCGGCACTGTGGGCTCTGGACCCCTGTGAGTCCCCCATTCCCAGGGACTCTGGTGCCACCCGGGCCATGGTGTCCTTGGCAAGTGGCAGTGAGGAGCCAGCCAGGATGTTTTTGGCTGGGAAGGGATTGTTTCCTCTGGAGCCTGTGACTCAGGGCACTACAGAGACAGGCTCTGCTGTGGGGCCCTGTGCTCTCCTGGAGGTCCCTTTGGCTGTACCGAGGTGCTGTGGCCCCCCAAGGGACACCCCTGCCCATCATGCCACTGCCCTGTCCCCTTGTCACCCCCATGGAACATGGACAGTGGCCCTGGGGAGCCTGGGGGCTGTTCTGTCTCCCATGGACACAGCACTGCCCCTTGTGCATGTCTGTGTGTGGCAGCCAGCCCTGTCGTGCCTGCTGTCCCCACTGTCCCCAGATGACCCAGAGGGGGGACGTGGGGACAATGCTCCAAAACAGGCTGGGGAAGCTGCCCTGTCCAACCCTGTCCTGTGGCACCCTGACCCCCAAACCAGGACACCCCTGAACCCGGACACTGTCTGAAACAGGGCACCCTGTAAAACCAGGGAATCCCAAAAATGGGAAAGTTCTGAACTGGGGTGTCTTCTGAACCAAGGCACCTCCAAACCAGGGAACCCTCAAAGTGGGGGACACCCCCCCAAGGCAGGGGACCCCCAGCCCACAGAAGGGACTGTCCCCTCCATTTACCCCTTCCCAGTGACATTTGGAATTTTTTAACTACTTGGGCAGCGAGCAGGGACCCATATTGGTGGGTGTTCCCATCTGGGGGTGCCCCTGTGGGTGCTGGGTGTTCCCCTTGGGTTAGTGCCCCTGTAGGTGCTGGGTGTCCCAGCTGGGTGGGAGCCGCTGCAGGTGTTGGGTGTCCCCCTGGGTCGTCTCACACATCCCCCTGACTGTCCCCTGTCCCCCCAGGTGTGCTGCTGCAGGAGGACCATCTGGACGCGCTGTCCCTGCTCGGCCTGACGTCCCTGCCCAGCTTTGTGCTGCTGTTCGGGGCAGCTGTGGCGCTGGAGCTGGGCCCCTCGTGGCAGGGGGTGCTGCGCCCCGACGCCGCGCTCTGGGGCTGTGTCCTGCTCAGCTGCCTGGGCTCCGTCCTCTACAACCTGGCCACGTCCTGCCTCCTGTCCCTCACCTCCGCCCTCACGCTGCACCTCCTGGGCAGCCTCACCGTGGTGGGCAACCTGCTGCTGTCCCGCCTGCTGTTCGGCACGCGGCTGGGCGCGCTGGGCTACGCCGGCGTGGCGCTGACGCTGGCGGGGATGGTGCTGTACCACCAGCCCCAGCTCCTGGCCGCGTGCTGGCCCCTGCGGGCGCCGCGGCGGCACCCGCGCCACGAGTAGGGGTCTGAGGGCGGAGCGGGGGCAAGGGAGGCTCTGAGTGAGGGCAGGGGGGCTGCGGAGCTCGGCTCAGCGAGCACGTGTGTGTGCTGAGGGGTGTCATGCCGGGCACGCGTGTGTGCCAGTGTGTGTGAAACTGCACGTGTGTGTGACTGTGCACGTGTCTGCCGGTGTGTGACACGCTGAGCGCACGGGTTTGCCAGTGTGCCCACATGGGTGCCGAGGTGCACAGTGCTGTGCACATGGGTGTGACTGTGCACACGTGTGTGCCAGTGTGTGTGCCACTCTGCACGTGTGTGTGTGCCAGTGTGCCTGGCTCTGTGTGCCCACGGGAGTGCTGAGGTGCACAGTGCTGTGCACGTGTGTGCCCGTGTGTGGCTCTGTGCACATGTGTTTGCTGGTTTGCACAGCTCTGTGCACACACCTGTGGCTGTTTGCACAGCTCTGTGAGCACGTGTTTGCTGGTGTGCACATGTGTGTGCCAGTGTGTGTGACTGCACATGTGTGTGCTGGTGTGCACAGCTCTGGACATGTGTGTGCTGATGTACACAGTGCTGTGCACATGTGTGTGCCAGTGTGTGTGGTACTGTGCACATGGGTGTGCTGGCATGCACAGCTCTGTGCACACGTGTGTGCTGAGGTGCATGGTACCATGTACACACAACCATGCAGAGTGGGACACCCACTATGTACATGTGGTTTGCATGGCTCTGTGCACACGTGTGCTGGGGTGCACAGTGCTGTGCACACGTGTGTCAGTGTGCATGGCTTTGTGTGCACATGTGACAGTGTGCACAGCTCTGTGTGCACACACGTGTGCTGAGGTGCACGGTGCTCTGCACTGCACATCCCTACTGATGTGCAAGGCACTGTGCACAGGTGTGTGCTGGTTTGCACAGCTCTGTGAGCACACGTGTGTTGTGTGAAGGCTCTGCATGTGCAGGCAGGTCTCGTGCACGTGTGCGTTGGTACAGACTGTACATATGTGAGTGTGTGCACAGCTCTGCGTGCGTGTGGCACGTGTGTGCTGCTGTGCACAGCTCTGGGGGGGGGTCAGGCAGGTACAGGTGTGCACACAGGCGCTGTGCAGGTACCTCTGTGTGTGTGTGTGTGTGCAGCTGTGTGCCCCAGCTCCACACGTGTGTCCCTGTGTGCACATGCAGGCTGGGAATGCTCAGGGACATGGCTGTGGATACACGACTCTGGATACAGGACTCGGGGCATCCGGCTCCTGTCCTGCCTGGGGAAACAGAACTGTCTGTCTGTGTGTGTGCACGTGTGTGTGTGTGTGTGTTCACACGTGTGTGTGTCACTACTGAGCTCTGCTGGCTGGAGTGGACGCTGGCTGTGTGTACACACTGTTCTCATGGCCAAACAGGATGCCCAGGACAGGGCAGGTGCGTGTCCCCTCCCCTGTCCCCAACCCCACCGTGTTGTGACAATCCCATGGGGCTGCCGGTGGTGCTGCCAGCGTCACCTTTGTCCCAGCTGTGCCCTTCCAGCCCCCACAGCTCCCTGTCCCCGTCCCTCCCAGCGTGCCGTGGCTGGCACAGACTGGTATCGGTGGCAGAGACGGCGAGAGCCCGGCTGAGGGGACGGGGACAGTCCAGACCACCCGCCATCGCTCCAGGGCGGTGCCAGGCTGAGGCGTGGGAGATGCTAGGCTGTGGCACAGCACACACTCACCATGGCAGAGGGACAGCCCTGTGTGTGCCCTGGCACCGCCGGGGGCCGTGGGGGCCATTGCCATGCTCGTGTCTCCGTGCCGGGGCCGAAGGACCCAGCTCCGATTGCACTTGTCCCAAAATAAAGCTCTATTTTTGTCGTACGCCACCCTCGGCTCGCGGTGATCTCCTGCCCGAGAGGGAAGGAAGGGAGGAACCACTCAGTGTAGGGATGGGAAACAGGCATGGAAATGCCTCGGGATGTCCCCGTGGCCACTGTGTCTGAGGGCTCTGTGCTCCAGTGCAGGGACAGCCGTGGTTTGGCAGCCCGAGAGGGTGTGGTGACACGGAGAGGAGTCACTGACCGCATGTCCGGGGCTGGTCCTGCTGGGAGCCTCGCCCTGCCCCGGCGCAGCACTGGGGCATCCTGCTCCCTGAGTCATGGAATCGTGGAATATCCTGAAGTTGGAAGGGACCCACAAGGATCATTGGATGCAACTCCTGGCCCTGCTCAGGACAGCCCCAACAATCACACCATGTGTCGCCAGTCCGGCCCCTCCAGCCCGGTGACTCACCCCACCGCATAAGCACGACCCTCTTCCCCTGGAAAATCCCTGCTCGCTCCCGCCCTCTTTCCCAAACAGCGATTTGTTTCCATTATCAGGGCAGGAGTTTGGAGGCCACTTCTAGCAGCACCTGGGGAACGGCTCCTTCCCAGCACACACTGAAGGGAGGGCAGCTCTCGGGTGTGCCGGAGTGCCACGGCTGGTGCCACCTTTGGCAGGTGCTCCAGGTGTGGCTGGAGTGGTGCCCATCCCAAAAGGGACACAAAGGGCCCCCAGTTATCAGCCAACAGCCCCTGTGCTGGCCAGGAACCTGTTTACTTTCTGGGCTCACATTCCAGAGGCTTTTCCATAGCAGGGAGGGTTGGAAGCCCTTTTGGTTTTCTGGGAGGAGTGGAGGGACCTGCAAAACAGCCATCTGTGGCATCACTGGTTCAGGAGCCCTTCCCCAGGGAATTCCTGCCCATCCCAGCTCCTGGACTCATTTGCTGGCACTGGGTCTGCCCAGATCCTGACTCCATCTACAGCTTTGCCTTTTCCACCTTGGATTCCTGCTGATTTCTACTTGGTGCCCTACCGCTCCAGGGAGCTGGGATGGGCACGGGGGTCCCATGGGCAGCATTCCTGGTGGGACTGGGAGTTGTGCTGCCCATGGAGGGCAGTGGCAGGAGGGCTGGCCAGGTGAGGTGACTTTCTCTCTGGGTATTTTGGGCCATGATCTCAGCCTGGTGTCATCCCTGTGCTCCGACCAGGCCCCGGGAAGGATTGGGTTTCCCACTGGCAGCAGCTGCCCATGTGCTGAGTCCAGCACTGCTCCGGCCGAGCTGGATGAGGGAAAGGCATCCCAGCTCTGGGGGCTTTGTGGGAGGGGAGCAGATGGGACCCCTTTCTGGAGAGCAGCCCCTGGCACGGGGCAGGACCAGCCCAGCAGGGAATGATGGGCACAGTCCTCACGTGGGCATGGGGAGGGGTGACCCTCCTGAGGAGGGGTGACAGCTCTGAGTGGTGACAGCAGGAATGGTGGCACCTCCATATGCTTGGAGGTGCTGGCTGGCAAGGAATCATGGAATTATGGAATCCCAGGATGGTTTGGGTTGGAAAGGACCTTAAAGGCCATCCAGTCCCACCCTCTGTTATGGGCAGGGACACTTTCCATAGCCCAGGATGCTCCAAGCCCCGTCCAACCTGGCCTTGGACACTTCCAGGGATGGGGCAGCCACAGCTTCTCTGGGCAACCTGTGCCAGGGCCTCCCCACCCTCACAGGGAAGGATTTCCTCCCAATATCCCATCCAATCCTGCCCTCTGGCAGTGAGAAGCCATTCCCCCTTGTCCTATCTCTCCATCCCTTGTCCCAAGTCCCTCTCCAGCAAGGAGCTACAGGTGAAGCATGGAACTCTGAGCTGGGAGAAATTAAATCCAATGGGACAGTTCAGTGATGAGATCCAGCCAGGCAGTTTCTCTTGGATCTGCTTCTAAACCACTGCTGAACCTTCCTTGGAGGCAGCGATGGAATGTGCCGGGATGGTGCTGTGAGCCCTTGGTGCAGGAGCAGGGGAGAGGAAATCCAGGTGGATTTACTGTGTGCCTGGGAGCACAGGGTGGAAATTATCTCTGTTTCAGGACAGGGATTAACTGCTGCCTGTTGGGAGCTCACTGCATTGGCAGGGTGGGATTTGGGATCTGCAGTGGGAGGCAGCAGGGACAAACACTTGCTAATCTGGGGAGCCTGAGCCAGGAAATAATATCCTTCTGGGATATGCTGGGCTGTGCTCTTAAACCATCCACATCACAGTCCTAAAACTGTGTCAGGGACTGTTGTGGCTCCAGAGATGAAATTACAGCAAAGCCTTTTTTAGGGTAGATGGAAGATTGCATTTTTCCTGGTGGGACAGCCCAGCTCAGGGGGGGCAGGGATCTGAGGATGCTTGAAGCTGCTTAAGCCCAGCTGGAGGCCAGGAGATGGACAGGATGAGCCTTCTAGCACGACATTCTCTGCTCCAGCACCCACAAAATCTAGAATGTTCCCTTAACCATTTTGAGGCAGGGGGGCTTCACTGGTGGCTTCACTGCTCACTCTCCATGTCCCAGGCTCCTGCCCCACGCCGAACAGGCTGTTGGCTCAGTCGCCAAATTTCTAGAAGATGAAATCACAGGAGCTTGAAGATATTTTTAAAGTCATAGAATCAGAGAATCATGGAATTGTTAAGGTTGGAAAAGCCCTCTAAGACCATCGAGGCCAAATGTTCTCCCAGCACTGCCAAGGCCACCACTGACCCACGTCCCCAGGTGCCACATCCACATGGCTTTGAAATCTTTTCAGGGATGGGGACTCCACCTCTGCCCTGGGCAGCTGTGCCAGGGGTGGACAGCCCTTTCAGTGAACAGATTTTCCCAATATCCAACGTTATCCTCCCCTGGCACAACTTGAGGCTGTTCCCTCTCCTCCTGTCCCTTGTCCCCTGGGAGCAGAGCCCGATCCCCCACCTGGCCTCACTCCCTCCCCTCAGCTGGGGCTGTGGGACCCCCTCCAGCTGAAACCAGAATTAACAGATGGGTTGGTGTGAGCGATGCCAGAGTGTGCCCAGATGAGGCTTCTGGTTCCCAGTAACACAATGACTTCGTGCAAGGATTCCCACTGACAGTGCACTTCCTTGGATTGCTCCCATCCTGGCTTCCCAGACCACCAGGGAATGGGGTTCTTCATGAGCAGCTCACCCAAATCATAGAATCGTGGAATGGTTTGGGTTGGAAGGGACCTTAAAGATTGTCTCATTCCAATGCCCTGCCATGGGCAGGGACAATAACCATGGATCTCCCAAGAGAGGCCAAGGCACCTCCTGAAAAAGCCTTTGGGCAATCAGACTGGGGGAAGGAATGGTCAGGACATCTTTGGATCTCTCCCAGTCAGAGATGCTGCCTGTGCTCTCCATTCCCTCTCTGGAATGCAGCAGATGACGGGACTCTGGGTTGCTGCCTCAAAACCCAAAGCTCTATCCCAGTAAGGAAAAACAGCTGTTGGTGACACTCCAAGTATCCTGACTCACAGCAAGTTGCTGTCCTGCCTCAGCAGCACAGTTTGTTCTGGAATAAAACAACACTCCCCGAGCACGTGGTGGTCTCAGAGTCCCTGTCAGGGCCCTGGAACAAAAGAGATGTGAAAACTGGGCTGATTGTCTTTATAGCAAGATTCTCCATCGCTGGTGTATCTCAAACCCCCTGCACTCCCAGCAGCACAGACTTCACGCTCCAACCCCTCAGAAGAGCTTATTTCCAGTGCTCTGGCATGGATCTAGAAGAACTGCTGCTGGTTTTCCCTGGATTTCCTGCCAAGAGGTCACACCAGCTCGTTGTACTCGGAGCAGCTGTGTTACTCTTCAATTCTGCGTTTCCACAACCCCGGGACACCATCCCTGCTGGAGAGCTGAGCCCCCGGAGCCTGTGGAGGCTGAAGTTTGTGCTGGTCGTGTCCCTGCCCCAGGAGCTGCTGTTGGGCTGTATCGGGGGATGGCAGGATTCGACCCTGGAGAAAACCAACCATGTCCTAGGCTGATCCCACAGTGGATCCCACAGCAGGGCAGGGGGGATTCTGCCCCTCTGCTCCCTCGGGTGAGACCCCCCTGCAGAGCTGCCTCCAGCCCTGGGAACAGCACAGGGAGGACGTGGAGCTGCTGGAGAGAGTCCAGAGGAGGCCACAGAGATTAGAGGGATGGAGCACCTCTCCTATGTGGAAATGCTGGGAGAATTGGGATTGTTCAGCCTGGAAAAGAGAAGGCTTCAGGGTGACTTTGTGGCCTTCCAGTACCTGAGAAGGAGCCTCCAAGAGAGATGGACAGAGACTATTGACAAGGGCTTTGAGAGACAGGACAAATAGGAATGACTTCAAACTGAAGGAAAGATGGTTTAGATGGGATATTGGGAAGAGATTCTTCCCTGTGAGGGTGGGGAGGCCCTGGCACAGCCCCAGAGAAGCTGTGGCTGCCCCTGGATCCCTGGAAGTGTCCAAGGCCAGGTTGGATGGGGCTTGGAGCAACCTGGGCTAGTGGAAGGTGTCCCTGCCCATGGCAGGGGGTGGGACTGGATGAGCTTTAAGGTCCCTTCCAACCCAACCCATTCCATGACTCTGTGTTTCTGTGACTGTGCCCATCAGGGACATGGAGTGGTGCTCCCTCAGGCCACGCAGCCAGTGGGGTCCTGCTCAGCCTGTGTGTCCCCACGCTGTGGATCCCGGGTGCCCTGGAGCCCGGCAGCCGGAGATGCAGGGGCTGGGGGTGTCCCTCACGGGGACACAGGGGTGCTCCATGTGGGGACAGAGGGAGGTCACCACCTTCAGGCAGCCATTGGTGATGGTGCCAGTCCGGTGGGTGCCAATGTCACCATGGCAACCACCGACCACCAGCAGCGGGGCCAGCGGGTCATGGAGGAGCAGGGCAGGACAGGGCCTCGCGTCACCTTCTTCCCACCACCCCAGAGCCGGCGGTTCGAGGGGCCCCGGTGCGGGGCTGGGGGACCCTCACACCGTCCTGGGCTGGGGGACCTTCATGTGGGACTGGGGAACCCCCCCCTGGGTTGGGGGACCCTCACACCGTCCTGGGCTGGGGGACCCCA